TATTGGATTGCGTGGTAATAAAAAGGTTGAGAAACGTTGGTTTATACTAGTTTGTATTTTTTATATGATTTACTAATTTGTTAAAAGTTATTAAATTCATATTTAAGATTATGTCAATCTGTCAAAATTGACGTTTATTTGAATATGGAACTGTCATTTCAATGGAAAGTAATATGGATGTATACGAATTGATGGAAATGGAAGGAGCAATGAACTGTTGCAATTTGTCTAGTTAACAAATTATCGAAAGGAATTAGTGTCACTCGAATTGCTTCTCCAAATATCACTGGAGGATGTAGGATGGATTGAGAAAATAAGTAAATAATAAACAAACAAAGAAAAAAATTGTAGTCTGTAAATGGAAAAAGGAAACTAATTGTAGTGGACGTGCCTTTCGAATTAAACGAATTTCGCTTTGTCCATAGACACTATTTGTCACCGGTAAAGCCCACGCTCGATCTCTTCGGAACGTTACCAAACCGAAGATGTAATTAACCAACCTCTTTTAATTGTGTCAAGGCGACGGCGGTGGATTCGATTTATGTAATGGATAGGCGCGACGGGAATTCGGGACAGGGCGTCGCGACGCCGTCAAAACCAGGCCACTCTGGTGTCAATACACCTCCTAAAATAGTTCGTCCGATTCAAAGTAATCACATAGTGCTAATTCAATATTGTTTTCGTTATCCGTTTGTTTCTTTGTTTCGAGTCGATGGATTGGATGGAGGAGGTAACAAACAACGAATTTTTTTGGTCAAGGACTTTTGACCTGTTCATCCTTTCTCGATCAGAAATGAATTCTCTTTTCTCAAATTAATTGAAACGAAAGGATTTTCGGTTTGTTGCATTCCTCTTGCAGCGCCACCCTTCGCGTCTCGTTCCAAATTGGTGGCTCGTCAAAACACCTAATTTACATAGTGGACGTGATCCGAACCGACCATTGTTGGACGACAATGGAATTCTCTTGTCCCGCCGAATCGTAAAACACGAACACGACACAAGAGGGGAAAAACCGTGTTCGAGGAAATAACAATTTCAAACCAAGGAGAACGAAATCGAATGCTTCTACTTTGACGCAGAAGGACAGGAAGTCTCGATGCACTCAATTGTCCAAAAAAAAAAACTAATCATCTCTAATGATATCAGGAAATCCTTACTACCTTCATTATCAGGTCGATAAGATTGTAGATTTTCAGAAACGTACGATAATCATCTTTTTTTTTAATTACAATTATTGAACTAATTACTTTTCATCAATTAAATCTAATACAGTAGAACCTTCCGTATTTTTTCTCGTATAGTGAAACATATTAAAAATACACATAAAGTGTGTACAAAAGTCTTAAAAATGATGTAGCGGGACGTCTCTTCTCACCTTCGACAACATACAATTGTGACATTATGTAATAAGTCAAAATTGACGTTTAATTGAAATGTCATTTGAGTTTTGATTCAATTTGACACGTCTCTCAAGAATTAACTACTAATTGTAGCAATCTTCGTCTACTCAATGAATTCCCAAGGTCTTTAC